CGTTGGAAAAATGGGTTTACTGTTAACGAATCGATCACCATAAGAAATTTTTAGAATAGTTTAATCAATTAGAAATAGAAGATTATGCAAGAGTGGGAAATCGTGTTAAAGAAACTGTTACTGTTGATGAAGGATTATTAGATGGTCTTCAACATACAATGGAACCCCTTTTAAGATTCTCAGGTTTAACAACAACTTTAAAAAAAGGAATTATTGATTTACTTAAACCATTTACTATTTGCTCAAAAGGTGACGTTTTAACACCTGAGCAAGCTAAATTATTGAAATTATTTCAACGTCCTTTAGCACAATTTAAAATTAAAGTTAAACTTCATTGGAATAAAAATAATGAAAAAGTTTAAGTGTGGGTGTGGGTTGTGAAATTCCATTTGAATGTGGGTTCGGGGTTGACCATCAGTGTCGATACACTGTACCAATACACCCACACCCACACACCCTAGTTTTATGTTTGAAAAATTTCAAGCTATACCCCACTATTAGCAGCATAAAAAGCAAAGGCATGCAAAACTATTTGTATTTAAACATTCTATTCAGTCGTCGTCACTACCGAACATTTGCAATAAATTATCATCTTCGCTTTGATCAAAAATTGAACAATCTCCATTCCATGATTCCATAGAAAATTCATGATAAGGCGTTAGTTGTAAATAATTTGATTTTGATGGATCATATCTTAGCCATGGTTTCAATGGTTCTCCTGTTGTACCCATGCTAATCCAATGGGAAATAATTTTATTTGAATATATTCGTGTTTGTTTATCCCATGTACAATTGATTGGATTTACTGATTTATAGTCACTTTCAGTTCCAAATACTAATGGAATTTCAAATGTATGAGCACATATACCACCACCTTGCTCTTTTGTTAATTGTGGACATATTCCTGAATTACAGTCCATATTATACCAAAACAGATTATGTTGCTTTTCATTATATTTCATATGTATAGAATTATATAGACGACGAACACCACAATCTAACCAAGTAGTAAGAATGGGACCAACTATATCACAGCAACGATTATGACTATCACTACTTGATGAACAATTATTTAGTCGATTAGAATTAACAACCATGGATGTTGTACCATATCCTACAAGGTTATTTATTATTGATGTAGCATTTTCAGAATTCATAGATGGATAAATTAAACAAATTGGCATTTCATGTTTATTAAAACCCACCATCATATTTATGCTTGGATTATATGTTCCATGTTGAATAGCCAATCGAGGATAATATGAGAAAAAGTAACCATCAATCACTGAACGCAATCCATCATCACCATAGGCAACAATTAAATCATTTACGGAAGCCTTACGTAAACATTCCAGAACAGTTTCACTTTTATTACTCTGGCAATTTAATTTTTTGACAATAAAATTTGATCTTTGAAGAGAGACACTTATATTTGTATAAAAAGAGAAGGAATTAAAGCTGCCTGATTGTGATATGATATGACGATAGAGATTCAAAGATCCTTTTAATGCACCTATGTCACCAACAGCTCGTCCTCCTGAACTTTCTCCAAAAAGTAGCACATTGTTTGGGTCACCACCATAATCGCGAATATTCATATTGATCCAACGCAATGCTGATAACATATCTAAATAATTATAATTTCCTGCTGTCGGCCATTCAATATTTTCTTCAACTAATTCGGCAAGATACATATCAGAAAATATTCCTAATCTATAATTCATTGTTATAACAATTACTGGCTGTTCAAGCGAATTACGAATTATATTTGTGCCATTGTATACCAAAGGGATACTTTGTGATGAACAACCGGTTTCAAAACCACCTCCATGAATCCAAACGAGAACTGGTAATAAAGAATTTTTGCGTCTGTTTAATGGTGTAAAAACGTTTAGATATAAACATTGTTCGTCCTGTGCAGTAATATAGATTTTAGCTTCTGTTTGTGGACAACATGGACCAAATGATGTTGCTTGAATTGAACCATTTGAAAATCTTTCAGATGCAAGATCAACTGGTGGTTGCCATCGATTTGCTATAGCATATTGAATTCAATGAATTTGTAAAACAATATCGATAATTTAATATTTAAACATAGTTCTTACATATAGTAAATGGAAAGCCTACCAATGTTAAAAGAAAAATGTAGTGGAATTAAGGCGAAGTTTATTTAGAAATAGTCTAGCAGCAAAATGAAATAAAATGAACAATTTTGTATTAAATTCGTTTTAATGTGAGACTCATGGGGCTATGAATTATTGAAAAATTCAATTTCAGACTAGATTTCGACCAAATTTAGATACATTCACAATCAGAATTCCATTAAAACAATGCACTATTATTTATTTGCATCTACTTATTAGCATATTGCATTGTTCAAATTTTAAAACTGATATAGAATTCCTTAGGAAAATTTCATTGATCTTCTCAACTACTGTTGAATTTTGTCTCCTACATACTTATCAATATCGAAGTCGCTACCCTCATTTTCTCTATCGTTGATTTCGGAATCAAAAACTTTTAAAAAGTCTCACCCTAAATATTCGGTTGTGTGTTCTGTTCGTCGACCATATATTATGCCTTTTCTAGTTTGAAGTCCATTGTCTACTGCATCAGCTGTTATGATCATAAAAAATAATATCTTGTACAACACATATAGCACAGGTTCATATGATTTGCGATTATTCATCGAAAAATAGTGCGTAAATGTCTAATCGAAATGTATTTTATCGACGAATGACCAAATAAATATATCTCCGTTTATTAATATGTTTAAAGGGACAATATTCTGAAGCTAGTTTTTCAGTCTAAAATATAAATTACTTTGATCGTGATTATTTATGCAAAATGAGAAAATCTTAGTGTAATTATATTCAAAGAACTTGGATCAATGAACGGTTAATTGGTGACTTCATGAAAAACTTATAGATTGGGTGAGAAAAGGATAGTGGGTTAAATACACTGGTTTTTATCAATCAAGCATTGCTTAATTGTTACCTACATTGTTTCTGTTTCTAAACGTGCGCATCTTTCTCTTATAATTACTTATTACTTTCTGGAAATTCATTTGCGCTTAGTACTAGGGGTGGGTAACTTTATTTAATTCGACTTAATTAAGTCACTTAATTAAGCCATTTTACTTAACACTTAATATTAAGCAATTAAGTCTTCTTAAAAAAGCTTAATTACTTAATATTAAGCGTTAATACAAACACTTAATACTTTAAATTAAGCATTAAGTGAAAGCTTAATACTTAAAATTAAGCGTTAAGTATAAATTTTACGCTTAATATTAAGCAATTAAGTCTTCTGAAAAAGATTAATTACTTAATATTNCTGATCGATCAGTGTGTATCGACTATTCCTAAATATTGTAACCATTTTGAGGGCTTATATGGGAGCGATTCCTATACATTTTAAAGTCCTACATGCGGATGGTCCCTATAATCTTTTGGGCCCTATTTGGAAGTGATCTCGATCATTTTTTTGAGGGCTGCCTAGAGATGGTCTCCCTTTTAACTTGTGAGTCCTGTCTGTGTGTCATTCTTCTCGATCTGCCACATCATGCATATTATTAACATGCATGTATCCTGATAATGCTTCAATAAACATGAATAACTGCATAAAACACAGAAAAGTTATGATTATTGACATGAAATCATCAGACGACACATTTATTAATCTAGTTTCTTATGTACAGAAGATCAATGGACAGGAAACATCAATATCTAGACAGAAATTTATGTTTGGTGCAAAACATTTCAACAAATTTATTGAACTAGTAGAAGCTGAAGAGCATATATCAAGGTTAGACATTGTTCGACAATATAAGTATGAAACAAATATAACGAAAGCGACAGTAGCATTTCTATACAAAAACTGACAAAAAATTAAAAGCAGTCAGTGAGCAGTTGTTTAACTAAATGAATGAATACATTGTATGCATAGACGAGCAATAGAATATATGACTGTAGCGTATTAATAATCGTAGTAGTGCTCCGTCAAAACAATACAAATCTATTTTTGGATGTCTTGGCGTCAAAAATATCTCACTGTATCTGTTAGTAACTATAGACTTGGTTTCAAAATGAAGTTTTTCTTATTGAAAATTTCAAAAAACAAGAGGAACAAACCTAATGACATGTATAGACCTTTGGTATTAAGAATTGTGATTAAATCGGAATCGAAGATTAAATATTTGAAGTTGTGCTGTCAACGCTCAAAGTGATAGATCTTTTTTTTAAATAGTAAATTACATATTATTGTTTTTTTTGTGTATACATATGAATATATCATCGACATTGATGTACAACAGAATAATATCCCAGAATGTGGACTAGATCTATGTCAGCTAGCTTTAGCAATATTGCAACAAATTATAATAACTTGAAACTTTCTTTGAACTAACAGATACAGCTTTTTCCGAAAAATAAAGTCTGTTTGTAACGTTATGCATAATGTTATCAAAAGAAATAGTATTCTGTAAAAAATATGTTCGGTAATATATTTTGAAATATAAACTAATTAAATGCGGAAATCATTAAGATAAGGAAAGTTTTCATAGTCTTTAGATATTGACAAAATGGTGATAAATTCCAAGTATGATCATTAGCTATCTATATATATTGCATCTGCCAGTATATGCTGTACACTACACATTTATGCATATTGTTTGGATTATTATTTGCACATAAGATAAAAGGAAAAAAATAAAAAAATAAAAAAATAAAAACATATAATGTCAATAATCCTCGGCTGTGCCATGAAAGTACACTCTAAAAAAACGGTACTTTACTGAACCCCTAAAAAAGGTTCCGGAGATTTCGAAAAGCATCCGAATGTGTCGAAAGTCTCAAAAAAAGGGATAAAAAAATCTACGAAACCTTTAAAGGTTCTCACGGTCTACGCAGGATAAGAACCTTTTCCTGCGAAACCTTTTTTAAGTTCCGTACAGTAGAAAAAGGCTTTGTAGGAAAATACGAAATCTTTAGAGTTTCGTATTAAACTCTAGGAAATTATGAGTGCTTAGTATGAAACTATCACGGTTTGGTACGCAACTAGTAGGGCTTAGTATGAAACTTTGAAGGTTTTGTATTTTCCTACGAAACCTTTGCCTGCTGTACGGAACTTAAAAAACGTTTTGCAGGAAAAGGTTCTTCTCGTGGGTACACTGTGATAACCTTTAAAAGTTTTGTAGATTTTTTTATCATTTTTTTGAGACTTTCGACACCTTTGGATGATTTTCGAAGTCTCCGGAACCTTTTTCGAGGTTCAGTAAAGTACCTATTTTTTTAGAGTGTAGCTGTAGCAAAACAATTTATTTTATTTTGTTCAAGTAAATTAATGAAAGTTGCATTTTATTTACCATTCTCTTACATACATAAATTTGTCTGCCTTGACAGAATCAATTGTACTATAGAGTTCCACACAAAGTAGACTACATCTAATCGATTTAATTTCTGATCGATTGGCTACCAAAATAAACATCAGAAACGGCGAAATCTGCAGTCAGTAAATCGGCACATCTTTTAGCGTTAGTTTTCCAATAAGTTTAGGATTAATATAAAAGTTTGGCGTTGACAGCAATAATCAACTTGATATTCGATTTAGAATTTTCTAGAGCAAGCCAAATTTTTCAAAAAGGAAAATAGCAGACTTACATAAAACCAAGTTTTAAGCCTCCTTTGAGGAAAAAAACACCATTGTTTCTCAATGGAAAAATAAACAAAAAACTTTTTGTAGTAAGGGAAACGATCGGCCCGTCAACTTCGTAAATCCGTCACCATACCAGATTCTTTATTTAAATGTTGCAAATATTCAACAGCATACACAAAAACTATCTAATATAAAGAAATCAAAAAGGTTTAAATATGTCCGTTATTAACTCATCAGAGTAAGGCAGAGGTCAGAATCCAATATATTATAAGCGCAAACAGCACATCAACACTACTCGCTACTTATCCACTACCATGGCTTGGTAGAATGCGGTCTTTATTATAAACTATCCAGCCAATAAGTCGCTAAAAAATTGACAATTCTTCACGTTAAAAATATTTATTTTTTTTAAGAAAGTGACCATTTCAGTATGACGTTATCAGAACAATAGATGAAGGCGGACATATGAATGTCAACAACCAACTGATTTCCGTGGTGTTTTACCAGCAAAAATAATGACAGAAAGCACAGAATGAGTCCAGAACCACAGAAAACTAATCAGTTGAACCTGCGATGATCCTAACAAAATTCAAAAGATCCACTTTCACCAGTTTTAGTTTTGCCTATGAAAGATTCGAATTCCTTCGCCAAACCCAACTTCGAACCAACTTTATAAAATATCATTCTTTTAATGAAAAACAGCGAAAATAAATTGCATGTGATTCACCATCATAAAGGGGGCTCTTACATATATATACCGTACGACCAAATCAGAGGATAGAAAGATCTGTTTGAACAGATCAAACTCGATCTACAGAACTATTCCAACAGTTATTCTGATGGCAAGTGATTCTTTAGAGTATGTTAGTTTTAGAAACTAATTGAACTAAGTATAATAAACGTTCTATAGCTCTCGAACCCTATCAAAGAGCGGTTCGTACAATTTTTTCAGACCTACATATAAAGTAGTCATTATAACTTGGTAGATTATACGTGAAGGATATTCAATATGAAACTGTCGAAAACATCCCGAGGCAGCCCTCAAAAAAAATGATCGAGATCACTTCCAAATAGGGCCCAAAAGATTATAGGGACCATCCGCATGTAGGACTTTAAAATGTATAGGAATCGCTCCCATATAAGCCCTCAAAATGGTTACAATATTTAGGAATAGTCGATACACACTGATCGATCAATTTCTACAAATAATCTGTCCTAGATACAATTATAACTTAATTACTTAATTTTGTGATGAATTAAGCGTTAAGTCAAAAAGCTTAATACTTAAAATTAAGCGTTAAGTAAAAGCTTAACGCTTAATATTAAGTAATTAATCTTTTTCAGAAGACTTAATTGCTTAATATTAAGCGTAAAATTTATACTTAACGCTTAATTTTAAGTATTAAGCTTTCACTTAATGCTTAATTTAAAGTATTAAGCGTTCACTTAATGCTTAATTTAAAGTATTAAGTGTTTGTATTAACGCTTAATATTAAGTAATTAAGCTTTTTTAAGAAGACTTAATTGCTTAATATTAAGTGTTAAGTGACAAAACTTAACTTAATTTTAAGTTAAGTCAAATGACCCACCCCTACTTAGTACCTGGCGAACAGTTGATAACAAGTTTGCGTATTATTATTGAATGTATAATGTATATTTTTCTTTTTGGTTAATTGTACCCTACAAATAGGAATTATGTCATTCATAATCATACGTAATAATTGTGGCATCAGAGCTAGCAACCCAAGTTGGACTTGACTTAGTTCAAAAATTTCTTTAGCTCGATTTGATAAAAATGAACAACATTTCGAACCATTTCATAGACAAATATTGTATATTGGGTATAACTACAGAAGAGCATTATACTGTTTATTGATATATAAAGGTTGTGCCAATCTAAAGAAGAACTGTGTAGCGTGTGATGAGAATATTCATTCGCGAATCATTTTATTTGTTAGACGCAAATAAAAAAGTGTCGCATCGTATATCATTGAAAAAGTCATTTTCAATAATGAAGTAATTGAACAGATCAGAGATTGACAAGTCAAGTCAGACTGGACTCGACTTGATTAAACTTCATTTGAAAACTCTTTTGTGATAACTTGGCTTGTGATTTTCCCAGCTCTGTGTGGCGTACTATGTTCCAACACGATAAAAATATACAGCATAAGATTTCAAGGTAACTACTCACTCGTTTGTTTAATAACTATGAAAGTGTTGTCTTCAAAACTGGAAAAAATCAACAGTAAGTGAGAAAATTTCACGATGGAACATACTGACAAGAATATATTATTTATTCGTTCGAACTTATCTTAAAAGCCAAGTTATAACATGATTGTTTCGACATATACATCATTTTTGGTATTTTTCGAAGCTTATTTTTACTATGACAAAGGATTATTTCAAACCATCAACCTTTAAATCTATTGCAATATTGATGAGACAATTTTTAAATGTCATAAACAACCAAGCTAATCTAAATATAAAGACAACTGCTTCATAACAAGCCATTTTTTATGCATCTTTTAGAGAAATAAAATTTACTGACTATATAAAACTAATCCCTAGGGCATGTACTGAATAAAGTGTACCCGAAAAATTACCTTGCTGGAAAGCAACTAATAAATGGGTACTATTGTACAGTATGTTTAGGTACCCTGTTACCAAAATTACAGTATGCTGATGATCGGATCTAATTTTTGACCTTGAGGGTGTGGGTGTAGGTGTAAGAAGAAAAAACACCAACACTTATTTTTTCTGCTCTTATATTCACTGCTGAGATTATCTTCTTTAAAGGTTTCTATTCAACTGGCGCTGCTAGTGGCTCTGCTCGATCAGTTGTTTATCGAGCATAAATTTTTCTAGACATTTTGCATTATAATCAATTATTAATCACAAAAAACTTTATTGTTTTCGAAAAACCTCATCGAACTTTTTTCAAGGTAAAAACTGTTGGAGTATTTATTTTGATGAATCGTAGATTGTTTTTTCTTTCTTTGACTTAGTCAGTTCATAATTAACGTAGGAAACACATATACATATACATATAACCACCATCACAATCTTCAAATATTGCCTTGAAAAGGAAGAGAGAAAAAAGAAATTTAAGGGTATCCCTTCTTTTTTAACCATTTCTAGATCTCGAAGATGGTAAGACCGATCGAAATGAAATTTTTACTACAGATAGAAGACCTAAAATGATGAGACACGTGTTTGAGGAAAAAATTCTCTTAGGCGGTTTTCATCGTTTTTTATGAAAAAACCTTGGTTTTCCATAGGTTCTCATCTTGCCAAGGACAACCCCTTTCTAACTTTGTCGGATTGGGTTGAAAATATTTTTGTGGATAACTACGACGATATCTCAGATACAGTTTTGAGCGTTTTCAAAAATCTCACTTTCTTTTTTTATAAAAAAAAATACGTAAAGGTTTTTTCGCCAGAACTGGATTTTTAACATTCCGAGCCATATAAACCCGAATGGAAGCATCAGGAATTAAAACAGGTGTGGGTGTGGGTGTATCTTCAGCGATTACAAATACCCACACCCATCAGATACTGAAATTTTGACAATTTTTGAATCACAGAGGTTTTTCGTAAAAATGGAATAAAAAATTAACGGAAGGTCTGATCGAGCTGATTCAAACAGCAATCGATAGGTCAACGCCCAGCCTATCTGCAGAGCGCATAAACAAAAAACTGATTTTAAAAAATTTCTTACTAAAAAAGAGGAAGGTACTCTTGATTGTTTTAAAGAATCATCTAATCATCTTTTTGCGACAAAATGTAAATATTTCTTTAAAATAATTTAAATTTATCTTAAATGTTTAGACGAGTCTTACTCATAGATCAACATTCTTCTTCAACAAATTTTTATAACATTGAATAGAATTATCATTTCAAACAAAATAAAATATTTACTGCAAGCCAAATTTGTATTGAAATTATTTTCAAATTATTACAAGTTGAACATTTATTTTCACAGAGAAATTCTTTCTAGGAAACAAATCTATTCAAAATGACAAAGAAAGATTGATTGCATACTAAACTATATAGTACCTTATCGAACTGTTAGCGAAGCTCAAGTATCTTCGTTCATTTTTCAAAACATTTTTCTCTTAACTTTCTTTTATAATAGTATATTGTCGATAAAATCACCAAAACGATGCATGCATTTCAACTTTCATATTATTTATTTAAACAATAGAATTGACTATATTTATCTCCACTATATTATCTATAGAAAAAAAGGAAACAATTGATACGACAGCTATGTTTTTTTTTTCATTATTGCATTATTCCTCCAGTTTATATATTTATTCTAGTCAACAAAACTAAAAATAAATTTGATAGAAGTTGACTATGATATGTGTACAAATGAATTATATTGTAAACTTAATCTATGATTTATTTGGAATCGTTCACGCTGCCTACAGCATAATTGGCAACAGTGATATCTAGCCAATTGTTATTCTTGAAATCGTCAAGGGCAATATTTTAGACTACTTTGCAAGATAACTACAATAATGAGTTTCGAAATGACTACTTGAAGCTGTCGACCGATAAAGTTACACGTTCAAAATGCCATATCCATTTCAATCCAAGAGAATATGTTCGATGAGTTTGCACGATTTATTTTTTAGTGAAAGCTAGTGCTATAAATTTGTTGTTCAAAAAAACAAGACGAGAATTGTTCTAATGTTTGCAGTTTAATATTCTATGAAAGTATTAAGTAAGATAGCATAAAATAAAACAACAATTACAGGTAAAGGAACCCCAGGCTGTACCCATTGGTTATACATGCATTCAAGATGATTCGTTAGTTCTTGACCAATTTGAACAGCAATAATATGACCGATAGTTATGTACACTTTTGTTCTCGCGGATGATAAAGGCGGTAATATCAATAAGAGCATGAAATTAAATATTGCAAAGTCGCCAAGACCTAAACATGCGCGACTATTTGATTGATCTGATTCATTATCATCAAAATTCCAACTGTAGTAGAAGCCAATAAGAGATGGTTTACCATCGGTCGAAAGTTCATTCAGTATCTTTGTGCTGTATATGGAGTTTTTTGGATGCAAACAACGGATTCTATTTAAGAAAAGATAAAGAATTTAATCAAATAAAATACTGCTTATTTTGTTTTTATTATTGTTCTACCATTCATCATTAAAATTATTTGTTCAAAATAAACTTTTTTATATCTTGAATTCTACTTGAACAATGGAAGAGAAAACTATAAGAAACTTAAAGAAAGCTTTCACAAAATAAGTAGTCTTGTTGATCCCACAGTTCATCTATAAAATCTTGTTACATAACAGATTTCATAAAGAACACTTCGTTCTTAAACTCCAAAGCAATACAATAGAACCTTGACAAATATTTTTTTTCGATTGTTTTTGTTTGTTGATTTTACCTGAAGATAATATATTAGGATAAAAAATGACGAATATTTGAAATTCTATATAATGTCTTATTCTAGAATTGATCCGCCGAAAACAGAACCAAATTTGTCCTCCGTTTCTTTGCGAATCAAAGAATTTTTTGTTTGAAATATTTATTTTCTTCATGTACACTACAAACATCATTTACAAAAGTCTCACAGGCAATCGTGCACAAAAACTCGAACTCAGGTGTCGTGTTTGACACAGATTGCTCTGGATTCGGTGCCAGAATTTACTTTAGGAAATATCCAATTAAGCTACAAATGACTATAATTTATCTTAGGATCATTCAAAAGGTGCAGTCAAGTTCGAATGTGAATATCTGCGGAGACAATCACGAACCTTATAAGATATCTCTAGCCATGTAGTTTTTAGGTACCTCTTTTCAGTGTGTCATCATCTTGAATATTCAGATTTGATACATCTCTACTTTAGAGTACAATATATACTATTGATAATAAATAAAAGTTAAATAATTCTATCCTATTATGATATATCATTCTTGTCAATATAAATTAATTCTCAAATAATTTCGTTATCAGTTTTTCATAACATAATTGAAGAAACATTCGAAAGAAATTAATAAATATTTTTTCTACTGTATATTATTTAGGATTCTATTTATTATGATCTAAAAATAGTTACTTTTATTTGGTTAAAAAGATTTTCATCTAGCTTATTTCGAATGAAAAAAAAATGTTTTTTTTTCTTTACTTACACATCTGCAAAAGCTATTAACCACAAAAGGAGAAAGTTCACTTGTATTGGTAAATAGCGAAATACAAAATCATGAATAACAAATATAATAGACGCTGGCATTATACACAACCATGCTCGATAAAAAGTCAATGAAATCAACGGAAGTTTATTTGATTCCCATTCAGTTATGATAAACATTATTTGCCAAATAAGAAAATATACAGTAAATATATCTAATGGACAAGATAAATTAAAAGCATCGCAAAAGCGTGCCACAAGTAAACCATAGATTATTGTATATGTTATTGAACGAATCGAATATGTGATTTTTTCTTTATCAAGTAAATTTATACATATCATTTCAAAGATTAATATTAAAACTAATGAAAATGGATCATAATTGTCAATAGAAATACCAAAGCGTTTGCAATTCTCGCTAACTACAACGATAATATAAAAATAAGAATAGATATTTAAAAACAAGCATACATATTCCATTGTTCCAAAAACAACATGCATGACGAAGTACATTACATGTTGTATCGATTAATATATTTTGAACAAGAATCCATTTGCTCTTGTATCTTGTAGATTATAATGCAGAAGAAATGTTATTCCCATACTGAACGTGGTTACTATCATAAAATGTGTATTACTCTTCATTCTTCAACTTTTTCACGTAAAAAATGAAAATGAAAATTTCTTATCTATTGATTGCACACTTTGACTATAGAAAACAATAGAAATAATGTGCTGTTTTTTTTTATTTGTTCATTCTTGACGAGACATATTTTCTCATTATTCTATTGAATTAACATGCTAAATCTATGTAAAAATAATCGGTCAATCTATGCAAAGAAAACCAATAAGAAATTTAAGGAAGAGACAAACTAAAAAAAGAATATTATTCATTGATTATAAGAGAACGCTAAATGAAGAAATGGTTTATTTATCTTTATTGAGCTTTATATGAAAGAACAAATTTAATAAAGATAAATAACATCTTTATTTTTTGGAAAATAAGGATAAGTAAAAATCTTCTCATGTATAAAACGAAGATAAATAAAAAAAAATTGATTTCGGAAAAATAAACGTACAAGAAAGATTTTTTTATGAGCGATAAACAAACGCCTGATATGGGTGTGGGTGTGTATAATGCCAGCGTCTATTATATTTGTTATTCATGATTTTGTATTTCGCTATTTACCAATACAAGTGAACTTTCTCCTTTTGTGGTTAATAGCTTTTGCAGATGTGTAAGT